TCTTCCTTCCTTTAAATATTAAACACTTGCCCTGAATTCTTCCCCTTGATAAAGACTCTAAAGGCAGAGCAGTGGTTGCCTGGATGCTGAAGGGCAAGACCAGCACGGTCTCACTGAAGATTAAAGCTGTCTGTACACAACACACGCACACAGAAACACATACTATTAAGCACTTGTTGTGAGCTGATCTGGTGCTAATTGCTGCAGTCGGTGTAGGTTTGAATGAGATTGGGACCTTTTCTGTCTGCACCAAGGAGCTAACACCTAGCAGGGGTGGCCCCTACATAGGCCAGCCATTTAGTGCGGAAATAAATAAGGATGTGAAGCATAGGCCTGACCCAAGGGATGAAGTGACAAACCGTTCAGAAAAGCTGCACTGAGATGTCCATGTTCCTTCTGGGGTTTGAGGATGCGTAAAAGTTGACTAAACCCAGGAGCATCAATGTGCATTGGAATCAGAGGGCAGAAACAACACATATGTTAGAGATTGCTCTGGTCGGGGCGTTGAGAGTTCCTGAGACACCGAGAGGGAGATAATATGCAGAACAAGAGACGGGGCTGTGTTTAGCCCTTTAAGAAGTAAAACCAACAAGACTTGGTGACTGATTGTAGAGGGTTAGGGAAAGGGAGGAGTTAGGGTTGACTCCCAGGCTTTTGGCCGAAACCTCTGGGCGGAGGGGTCAAGAAGCTGGATCAGACCCTGGCCTGTTGACTCACAACCCAGGGCATGGGATACGAAGCTTTTTCTAGTAACCTTTGGTCTATTAAAGAGGTAACTTGGCCTGTGTAAAGTGAGCAGCTCTGATATAAGAAAGAAGTGATGGTTATTGTATTCCTCCTTTGTGAAGAGAGCTGGAGTATCTGCTGAGAGATGAAATAACCTCCTCCTAATTCAGGAGAAGTGAAGGCTGTGCTTCTGGCAGCAGTAAGAGGCTTTTTTTCCTCAAAACTTATGTTCACTCATGGGAGCAAAGCAGCAGAGCTTTGGGAGCAGGGAACTTTAGAAAGGCAGCATTTGGCTGCTTGGTGTGGGAGTGTAAGCTTGCTGGAGAACTCAGAACTGCTGGCTGCAGGGGGCGAGAGCCCTGCTGTGCATGTTGGGGGTGGGAGGGACTGCACACGTTCCTGGTGGCGGAGTCTGGCAGAAGCCCCGGGAAAGTTTGAGCACCAGAGTAAGAGTCCATGATTTATTAAAAAAAAAACAAAAAAACCCAAAACCTATTCTAATCAGTGTGTTTATAATTTACACTAGATTATTTATGATCAAAGGTATGAAATGATGAGACAATACCAAATTGTACCTTGATATTTATTTAATTCTTTAGAAGGCTACTATTACAGGGGCGCCTGGGTGGCTCAGTGGGTTAAGCCATCTGCCTTTGGCTCAGGTTATGTGGTATGTGGGTTCAAGCCCCATATCTGGCTCTCAGGTATCAGTACAGAGCCTGCTTGGGATCTTCTGTCTCTCTCTCTCCCTGCCCCTCCTGCACACATATTCATTCTCTCCCTCTCTCTCAAAAATAAGTAAACATTTAAAAATGTAAAAAAAAGTTTATAGAAAGCTACTGCCACATAGTATCAATTCAAATTGTTTAAGTATTCCCCCCTTTTAAACTATTTTAAAAGCCAATTTTGCTAATGGAGAAGGGGTAGCAGAGAGCTTGGTTTGAGGAGTCAGGATTAAACGCTTGCAGGAAACCCAGTAACATGTGTAAGGCACATCCCGTTGCTTCAGCGAGGCTCTTGTTCTGCCATCTGTGGTGCCTCAACAGGTCTGGGATAGAATTGAGAGGGTTGGTGAACTTGGATGGGAGCAAAAATTACATCTTTATTTTAACAAAATTCTAACCAATTTTTTGCATTATAAATTAAGTATTCAAAACATGGTAGTATTTGCAGTATATGTCACCAGTAGAATCATAGCTGTTTTCATATTATATTATAGTTGTGGCACATATCTGAAGATACCATTTATACTTACCACTACTTTGGATTTTTGGTAGTTATTAGATCTGCCACTATGCAAAGAGCCAGTGCCTTAATAGACAAGAACATACATTACTAGATTGCATATTTTTAAATTTGGATAATCGTACTTCAGTCAAATTGGTTTTCTTTTGAATCTCATGCATTGTGTTTCATCCATGGCACACAAAAGGTTAATAACCTCTGGTTAATGTCATGTAGTTGTGGCGTATGACCTCCACCTGGTGGCAGCATATTCCTTAAAGGTTAAATCTATAATCAACAGTTGTGAAGAAACTTAAAATAACAGTATACTTGGGTATGGTTTTCAAATAGTTTTGACCACAAATCCGCAGCAAGAAATAAGCTTTCTATCATAACTCAGTATACTTATACATAAGTTTCACAAAACAAGACTTGACTGTACCATGTGACACACTGATATTCTTTATTCACATATTCCCTTTGATTCTCTTTCATTAAAATAAAATACTGTTGTAACACACTCAGAAGCAGTTCAATGGGTCACATTGCGCTATTTGACATCATAGGGGACCCTCTTTCATTATTTTTCATTATTTTTTATCCAGTTGAACTTCACTTTGTTCTCCTTCTAAATACCCATTATTTTAAGGGCCAGAGTACATTTATATAACAGTTAGTAAATATAAATGTGTTTTTACACAGCCTTTAAAATTATTTATTCGTGATGTGTAATTTATATGCACTGAAATGGAACGATCTTAACTGTATACCCCATCAAGATACAGAACCTTCCTACCACCACACAAAGTTCTTCTGTGGCTGTTCTCAGTCAGTTCCTCCCTCGGTAATCACTATTCGGATTGCTTTGACCACAGATTGAGTTTTGGTCTTCTAGAACTTTATCTAAATGAAATCCTACAGTATGTATTCTTTTAGCCTGGTGTCCTTTGCTCAACGTAATGTGAAGATGAGTCCATGTTGAGTGGATCTGTAGTTTTGTGAGGAGCATTCCATTGAACGAATGTACGGTACTTTGTTTATTCTTCTCCTGATGGACTTGGGTTGTCTCTGTCTTAGCTATTGTGAGTAAAACTTCTATGAACATTTGCATACAAATCTTTCTGTGCACATGTTTTATCTCTCTCAGTAAGTGCCTAAGGTGGAATTGCTAGCTCAGTCAGTAAATTTAATGTGTGTTTAACTAAAGGAAACTGACCAACCGTTTGCCACAGTGGTTGAACCATTTTATATTTCCACTAGCAATGCATGAAAGTTTGGGTTGGTCCACATCCTTACCAAGTTTGGTGTGTCGGTCTTTTTAATTTTAGTCATTCTGGTAGATATGTAGTTGTATTTCTTGGTGATTTGCATTTGCCTGATGACTGATGTTGAACACTTTTTCATGTGTTATTAGCTGTTTGTTTATCTTGTGACGTATCTGTTGAAGCTTAGGTATTTTTTTTTTAATATTAGATTTGTACAACTTATTTATTTTGGATGCCAGTCCTTCATGACAGATATATGCATCTATAAATGTTTTCTTTTAGCCTGTGACATAAGTATTCATTTTATTAATGGTGTCTCTCTTTAAAAAATTTTTTTAATGTTTGTTTTTGAGAGAGGGAGAGAGCATGCGAGTGGGAAGGGGCAGAGAGAGAGAGAGAGAAAGACAGAAGATCCCAAACAGTCTCAGTGCTGACACCTGAGAGTCCGATGCGAGAGTCGAACCCACAAACCACAAGATCATGATCTGAGCTGAAGTCAGATGCTCAACCAGCTGAGCCATCCACGTGCTCAGTGGTGTCTTTTAATTAGCAAACATTTTAAATTTAGACAGCAATTTAATAATTTTTTTCTTATATATTTTGTGGTTTCTGGGTTCTGTCTAAGAAGTTTTTTTTCTACTCCAAGTTTGGCAAGATAGTTTTTGGTTTTTATGTGTAGTTCTATTATCCATCTCAAATTAATTTTTGTGTATGGTATGAGGTAAGTGTCGAGTTTTATTTTCCTTCCATACTTATATTTGTTCTACTTGGGCCATTGGTTGAAAATAGATTCCCTTCACCACCATTGGATTACAGCACAGAATTTAAAAAAACAAACCAAAAAACAAACAAACAAACAAAAAAGAAAAAAAACCCCAAACTTGTTGGGCCAAAGAGATGCAAAAGTACCATTTTCCTGGAGGCCATCCCTGACCCTTTGGGCCTTTGAGACCATCCCCAACCTGCAGTCTTGATCTTCTGTTTGTTTCTAAGTTAGTTCATCCATAGTTATCTAGAGATTTGCAGAAATTACTTTAGTCATAACATTTTACAGGGTCGATAGCCATGCCACAGCCCGCCTAGTCACAGGTGGCTGTTTAAGTTAAATTAATGTCAAATACAATTTAGAATTCAGCTTCTTAGTCACATTTCATGTTCTCGAGAGCCACACATGGCTACTGGCTACCCTGTTCAACAGTGATAGGAAGCAGGATTTGTACAGTTTTACAGCGTATTTTAATGAAACTAATTGAGTTTTGATAACTGTCATTCAGCATCCACTTTCCTTTCCTTGGTTCTTTTTCACTGGTCCTGGCTTCTGTTTCTATTCTAAAATGTCCGGTCCTAGCCGTTCCTTTTTTCTTTCTAAAAATGCAGTAGCTTATGATCTGTTCTTTCCTGCATTGAGGGAAGAATCCTCCTGACTGTCCATGGAACCATTCCTTTCTGGAGCCTACCTAGTTCTGACCTATTTCATTTCTCTCAGTCTTTGATAGTCATCCAGCTGCCACTGGATGCCTTGAAGATGCCCTTGAAGGTGTGGTCTGGAGAAGATCATCTTTGCCATTATGAATAAAATTCTATTTCTCCTTAGCATTTGCGCCCTAAATATTAAACTTGCAAAAACTGGTAGTTTTATGACCTGTAGCCCTGCCCCATATTAAGATTTCTGTCCACTAGGGAACTTTGTTGCCATTTCATCATGAGTAACCACATAGGAATTTGTGAGATTTTCTCTCATTGTTTGCTGGGTGTGAGCTAACTCTGCCATTAATGTCTTTTTAGTGTGGGAATTTTGCTGTCCTGGTGGATCTTCACATACTGCCGCAAGGTTCAAACAAAGATACCAGCTGGTTTTCTGAACAGAAGAAAGAGGTACCACAAAATTTTTTACTGTTTAAATGCAATAGCTGCTGCTAAAAGAAATATGAACTCTTTCAGCTTTCATTTTCATCAGTAGGCAAAAAATATTGAATGATATTTAACCCTTAAAAAACAGTAGTTGTATTCCCAATGACAGACCTGCTTTTTTTTCCTTAAGAAAGTGACAGACACATCTGTATATTTCATATACTATATTATTTAAGCCATAAATATTCTACCTCTTTGGGGGGAATGGGCTGTTTATATTTAAGAAAAGAAGACATAAAAGTGACTGTTCTAGGCAAGCAGGCACTTTAACTGGTTTTAAAGGACAGACTGAGCCCCTGAAGTAGGCGTGGAGTGAATACAAGACTGATCTTTCACACCTTGAAATTAAATTCTTATTTAATTCTTCAGTTCTTATTGTCTGCACATTTGTCTTCTACCATCCTTTTATTAACATGAGTCTTTGACAGTAAGTGTTGAGATGTTGGACTGTATTCCTTCTCACTATGATATGTCAGGGAAGCCTATGGCCGGATGGTCATGTGACTGGGAGCCATGGCGTTTGACCTCCTGGGCCTCAGTCTCCTCATCTGCAAATGAAAAAGTTCGACCAGAGGTCAGCTGAGTCACTGCTGGCTCTCCGTTTCTGTGATCCCACCCAAGTGCTGCTGTGGCCGGGGGTTGGAGAGTGCATCTGGCTTTCATCACGTGTTCTGCTTCCTTCTCCATATCCTTGTCCTCCAGAGCAGGGATGGTGAGGCAGTGGCCTGCACGTAACTTTCAGAGAATGACAGCACTTTGTGTCCTCCATGATACTCGTCACAATAGCTTTTTAGAACTAGACATAAAAACAAATTTAATTGAAAGATAGTATATGGAGAAGAATCTAGTGATAGTGGCAACAAAAGCAAGCCAAAAAACCTTTACTGTGGCAACTGTTTTCAGTCAACTTTTGAAGATTACTAGGAAAAAAATTCCTCCAAAGAAAATTTGTAATTAGTACATTTTCAGTCAAAAGGTAATGATACAATCAGCACTTGGCTGTCAGAATATTGCAAAGGATACCTGGTGGCCCCCACCTGGGAGAAGGCAGACACAGGATTCAGTATAATGGATTTACCATTCAGGTCAATACATTGTCTTCTTCAGATCTTAATATTTAGTGTGCTAGCATCTCCTATGACAATTCAACTCCATGTAATTCTAAGATTTGGCTTACCAACAACACATGTCCCTGTGATTCAAAACGTTCCTTTGTTTCCCCAAAGTGACCAATGCTCACCTTAAGGATACCTCACCCCAAAAGCCTTCTGACTTGACTGACATTAACAGCGGTCTAGAATCCACTGTTCCAGGCCCAGCCTGTTGCCCATTTTCTCCCAGCTTTACCACCTCATCCTTAGCCCTCTCTTGTTGATATTTAGTCAGTTTTGCCAAGCCCGTTGATTTGGAAGGGTTTAAAATAAAGCTACAAGTATGTGAGTCACCTCCTACCCAAAGCATGAGGCTAAAATTTTCCAGGGAGCCACACGTAGCTGTGCCACTCCACTTAGTCCCATGTCCAGGCAGCAAGGCATGACTTAGCAAAGGTGCTCCGAGCATGACGGGACCTGCAGAGCTTGGCTGCGTGTTCGCTCCAGCGTTACTCCAGGAAGCCAGGCTTCCCTCACAGAGCAAAGCAGATGGTTTGCTGTGTATACTTGAAGTTGTTTCTTTATAGTTTGTTCACTGATGTGAAAATTGCTCCAGGAGAGGGGTGCCTGGGTGGCTCAGTCGGCTAAGCGTCCGACTTCGTCTCAGGTCATGATCTCATGGTTCGTGGGTTCGAGTACTGTGTTGGGCTCTGTGCTGACAGCTAGCTCAGAGCCTGGAGCCTGTTTCAGATTCTGTGTCTCCCTCTCTTTCTGACCCTCCCCTGCTCACACTGTGTCTCTCTCTCTCAAAAATAAATAAAACATTAAAAACATTAAAAAAAAAAAAAAAGAAAGAAAATCGCTCCACGAGGGAGACAGAGACAGAGACGGGAGAAAAGCTAGTCAAGGAAAGGATATGCCTTTAGTCTCTATTCAGTGCCTCAGTGCTTTCATGTTTTTTTATCACTAGATCATCTCATGATTGGGATTTCATGAGCCGTCAATTTGATTGCATTTTAGCAGTCACTTTATATAGTGAAAGTCTTAAGAATGTCCAGTTCCTTTTCAGAAAAAGGAACTAATTGCATGGATTAAAGCCATGTTTATTTTGAGTCCAGCACGAGTAGTCTTTGTACCCAAACAGTCAAACTCGAACTGTTGCATTTGTAAACTTGAGGAAACAAATCGGAGCCCTTCTTAGCCTAGAAATACCCCGTATATCTCTGTCTTCTTGCTCATCGATTTCAGCTTGGTCTTTTTAATCTGCTCGTCCAGTTTAGCTGGGACTTTGTCTTTTCTTGCATTGCTCTGGTTCTGAAGACAATGCTTTGCCAAGTGTGGTGTGGTCAGTTACTAGGTTATCTTGACCACATTGCACATGGTCTACCTTCCATTCGTCAAACTTGACTCATAGAAGGAAAGCCCCGTAACTATAGGGAGAAAGTTTGTGTTGTATGGGCCTTTCTTTTATTTTTGTCATGCTATTTTTAGTTCTAGCCTTATAGGGCATTTATGGCTAAATTTTAACAATCTTTGTTTCCATGTATGTCTTTCACATATTTTCTAGCTCAGTCATAGTTGAACCCTGCATGTGAAGCAAAATTCTTTAATTGTTAAAACAACAGTATGGGGCAAGGCTGCCTTTCTGTTTTGTGAACAATGCCAAAACGCTCAACTGTAAATGGATCTCTCTCTATTCCACAAGGCACTGCATCTTTGGGCTGCAAAATGAGAGCAGGAGAGAGATCAGTGTTTCTATTTTATGTACAAATTCCCATTTGTGAATTGAATCAAGGATTTTCAGTACTGTTGAGGAGTGTCCGTATTTGCAGTAAAAGAAAAGTTTGGCTCTCATTGCCCTTCAGAGCTCCTTAAAATTTTGTTCTTGTTTTAATTTTTGAAGATGCTAAGAGATCAACCTGAGATGGCATTGAAGAAACCAGTGAAACAGGTTTGAGTTGACCTGGGCAACTTGGAGCCTTCTGCAGAGTCTGGGAATTGGACCAGAATTATTAGTTCTTACACACCAGTTCTTAATCAAAGATAAGAAATTTAGATTTGTGTGCCATTTTCTTCCCCTTTCCTTATATTGGCTCTGTCTCTGGTAGTGTACCTAAAATGGACAGTGTCTTCCCATCATGTGGTGGACTTTTTAAAGTTTTGTTTTTCTTTTCATAAGTAACACTGATACATAAAACAATACACAGCTCTAGAAGTTTGCTAGTCGTATGGTACATTGACATTGAATTAAAGCCACGTATTTCTGTTGCCTAATAAACATTAATCTACTTTAGAGAAATATGAGAAGTTAAATTATTTTCACCATTAATCGGTGGATATAGTGCAGTTTTCACAAAAGCAAATAGGCACATATAGTATCATCAACAAGAGCGTGGGAGAAAATCACATTACTGATTGTTAGTTCTCTCTTCAGCCCATCACTCGGTGCCATTCCTTTATCAGTAGATGGTCTAAACCTGAAGCCAGAAACTAATGAATGAAGGATGGTGGTGTTTAGGTTAAGAAAACTATTGTATCAAGTTTGAAAAATGGGAACTATTCACATAAAAATGGCTGTGCCAGCTCCTCTGGAACAGATGAAAAGAGCTGATGATCCCACCCCCACCCCACCCCTGCACCTGGCAACCTCTCATGACGATAGTCCTCGGGCAGGGCTGCCTCTGCTGGCTGGATTGGGGTCAGAGTGGTAAGCCCCACCTCCTGGATCCTTCCCTCATCCACAGTCTTGCCACAGCGGGCACTTCACTGCATTTTTTACCTTCCTTTTAGAAATATGGAACAGAGGCAGAGGGAAATTAAATGAATTTCTCAGATCACAAACTGAACCAACATCATGGTTTTGAGCAAACTTCAGTAGCAAACTTAAACCTGGTGTGTTACCCTTGAGTTCAGATAGCATTCTTTTCAGCTTTCACAGCTAAGTAAAAAAGCAAACGAAAAGAAGTGTTCAGTGTTGGCTTTTTAATAAGCACGATGTTGACTCTTTTTGCATTGCATTACATGAGAAAATTATACCTCATTTTTTAATTTACTTTAGGAAGTCTGTTTACTGTTAAAAGAAACCATTGATTCAAGAGTTAAGGAGTACTTGGAAGTTCGTAAACAGCACAGGCCATCAAATACAGAATTCACAAGATCCAGTCCCTTGACCTTAAAAGGTAGGCACAGAGTACTTTGATTTTGGATAAAATTTCTGCTTTGTAGAGATGGCAATTGTGTTTGACTCTGACTGTCGTGTTACTACAGTGGTACATTTAAAAAATATGTTCTAATGAAGATGCTTTGTTTGGGTAAAGAAAATTAACCAAAAAGCCCTGAAAGGCTTTTAATAGTAGGCAAAATATATAAAAATAGAAAATAAAACATTCCTAAGGAATCTGTACTTTATTTATTTTTTTTTTTGTGACAAGTTCTCTTACAAATAGATTTACATTAATACTGACTTGATTTGGGGCTTTATGCTTTTTAAAATGCTTTCATATATATGGCACCCTATTTCACAGGTTCTCAACTGGAGGTGATTTTGTACGAGGGGACATTTGGTGATGTCTGCAGACAGTTTTGGTTGTCTGGAATGGGAGGAGTTGACAGGGAGCTACTGGCATCTAGGGAGTTAGAAGCCATGGATGCCACCAAATATCCTACAGTGAGCAGGATAGCTCCTAATAACAAGGCATTATCTGGCCCAAAATGTCAAGGGCACTGAGGTTGAACTATTCTCCCTATTTCCTAACAACACTTTGAGAATGGTGATGTCCTAGCTGTAGGTGAGGAAGCTGAGGGTCTGCAAGATTAAGGGCTCGCCCAAATAAAAGATCATCTTGTAGAGGACCGAGACGATTTTGTTTATTTGGCATCCTCTCCCTCCCCCCAACCCCCTTCCCGGCCTTACTTAGCCCAGTGCTTGATACACAAGGTAAGCATACCTGTTGAAGGAAAGCATATTTGTGTGACAAGTGGCAGAACCTGACCCTAGACCCAGCTCTTCTGACTCCCAGCCCACTGTTCTTTCCACTGTATCATTGCTGCATTTTTAATTTTTTCTACTTTATGTTGGTGTTTTGTAACACTCCTTATGTTACAAATACAGTTAACCTTGTGTTACTCCTCAGAGGACAGTGCTGGACTGCTGCGAACCACGTTATGCTAATGTTCGATGTAGCATACTTAAACTACAGTGTTCACCTGGGCACAGCTGATAAGTAGGCAGACAGATTAACTTTACCCAAACTGAAAGCCTCAAACAAATGGAATTTGCAGTCCAAACAATATTGTGTTAGGTGACGCTTTCTGGAATTTCACTTAGTAGTAGAATAAAGCTTGAGAAAAGCCATAGGAGCCTACATCCTTTGTACTCCAGCAGACCTGGCTAGTCTCATTTTCTTACTGGTACAAAAGCAGAAGGAACAGAGGTTTTCAGACTTCCATTTCTGATGTGGACGTGGCGTGGTCAGTACTGATTCTCAACTAGCCCTTCCCCTGCCTTCTTCTACTACTGAGTGGAAAATGCTAAGTACTCAATTTTCCAGCCGCTCTCACGGGTAGGGAACATGTGTTGTTTGTGGTTCTGGCCCCAAGATGAAAATCAAAGTCTTTGGGGCGCCTGGGTGGCTCAGTCGTTTGAGCGTCCCACTTTGGCTCAGGTCATGAACTCACAGTTCATGGGTTCGAGCCCCGTGTCGGGCTTTGTGCTGACGGCTAGCTCAGAGCCTAGAGCCTGTTTCAGATTCTGTGTCTCCCTCTCTCTCTGACCCTCCCCTGCTCACGCTGTCTCTCTCTCTCTCTCTCTCTCTCTCTCTCTCTCAGAAATAAATTTAAAAAAAAGAAAATCAAAGTCTTTGTTGGGCTCATGTGGTCAAGAAGTTTTATTTTATTTCATTCATTTTATATATATTTTAAGAAGTTTGTTTTAAAACAGAAAAGTGATCATTCTGTACAATTTTATAACCTATTTTTTTTTACCTAACATAATACAGAAATCCTTTCAAACACATATATCACCATTTTTAAAAAATTAGTTTTAATGTGGTAAACTATACATAACATAAAATTTACCATTGTAACCATTTTCAAGTGTACAATTTAGTGGCATTAAGTACATTCACATTGTTGTGCAGTCATTGCCACTTTCCATCTCCAGAACTTTTCATCGTCCCAAATGGGAATTCTTTACCCATTAAAGAATAAGTCCCCATCAGTCTCTTCCCTAGCCTCTCGTAACCACTGTTCTGCCTTCTAGCTTTATGAATTTAGGTACTTGAGGTACCTCCTGTAATGGAATCATCCAGTATATATCCTTTTGTGTCTGGTGTTTTCACTTAGCATGATGTTTTCAAAGTTCATCCCTATTACAGCATTTAACAGAATTTTCTTTGTTTTTAAAGCCAAATAGTATTCTGTCTCACACACACACACACACACACACACACACACACACACACACACAGTGTTTATTCATCTGTCACAGGACAGTTGAGTTATTTCTACCATTTAGCTGTTGTGAATAATGATGCTATGAACATTTGTGTACAGATACCTCTCTGAGTCCCTGCTTTCAGTTCTCTGGGTATATACATTGAAGTGGACTTGCTGCATTATATATATGGTCATTATTGGTTTAATTTTTTTGAAGAACTGTCATCCTGTTTTCCACAAACATTTTACATTCTCACCAAGAATGGATCCCAATTTCTCCATAATCTTGCCAATACTTACTTTCTCTTGTTTTGATGATAGCCATCCTAATAATTGTGAAGTGGTATCTTACTGTGGTTTCAATTGTGTTTCCCTCAGGGGTAGTGATTTTGACCATCATTTCATGTATTTATTGACTATTTATATATCTTTGGAGAAATGTCTGTTTGTGTCCTTGGACCATTTTTCAATTGGATTGTTTGCTTTTTTGGTTATTGAGTTGGAGGAGTTCTTTTATATATTCTGGATATTAATTCCTTATCAGTATATGATCTGCAAATATCTTCTCCCACTATGTGTGTTGCCTTTTCACTCTCCGTAGTGTTCTTTGATGTGCATTTTAAGTTTTGATGTAGTCAATTTATGTATTTATTATTTCGCCACCTGTGCTTAATGCTATATCCAAGAAACCATTACTAAATCCAGTGTCATGAAGCTTTTCAAAAATTGTGTTTTCTTCTTAGAGTTTTATAGGTTTTGCCCCTTTTAATTATGTCTTTGATCCATTTTGAATTAGTTTTAAGAAAAGGGTCCAAACATATTCTTTTGCATGTGGATATTCAGTTGTCCCACCACCATGTGTTGGAAAGTCTGTCCTTTCTCCCATCGAATGGTCGTGGCACCCTCATTGGAAATTTTTGATCATAAATGTGAGAGTTTAGGGGTACCTGGGTATAAGTATTCTGCTTCAGCTCAGGTCATGATCTTGTGCTTTATGAGTTTGAGGCCCTCATCAGGCTCTGTGTTGACAGCTCAGAGCCTAGAGCCTGCTTCGGATTCTGTTTCCCTCTCTCTCTGCCCCTCCCCTATTCTCTCTCTGTCTCTCTCTCTCTGTCTCCCTCTCTCTTTCTCTCTCAAAAGTAAACAAACATTGAGAAGATTTTTAATAAAAAAATATATGTGAGAGTTTATTTCTGGGCTCTCTGTTCTATTCCATTGTTGTAGATGTCTGTCTTTATACCAGTACCGCACTGTTTTGGTTACCATAGCTTGGCAATAAGTTTTGAAATTAGGAAATATATGAGTCTTCCAACTTTCTTAATGTTGTTCAAAATTGTTTTGGCCATCCAGGGTTCACATCACCATTTTTAATGGCTATGTAGTGTTCCATTAAATATCCATACTCTTTTATTGGTGGGACATTTAGGTTGCATCTAATGTTTATACTGTCATAAACAGTGGTACAGTGAATATCCTGATGATATACATATGTTTGCACACTTCAATTTCTTTATAAATTTTTTTAATGTTCATATTTTTATTAGTTTGTAAGCACTCCTTAAGGATATGAATACTTTGTATGTTTTATATGTTGGAAGTGATTTTTCTGAGTTTGTCATTTGCCATCGACTTGGTTTATTTAACTGCACAAGCACAAACAAGAAAAAGCCTGTGTTTGCCCCCTGGAGCCCCTGGTGACTGGCCACTTATGGGAGGGGCCCTGGCTTCCCTGTACTGAGATAAGTAGTGAGTTCAGTTTGATTGCCAGAGGGAGAGAGGATGATATAATGCACCGCTGTGTTGTTCACTCTTTAGGAGAAAAGCTGTGTTAAGTATTCCTTGCTGAAAGTTAACTTGGTGTGAAAATACTATCTTCCCTTTCCTTTCTACTTCTGGTAACAGTTAATGTTTAATGGAGCATGTCTTGTGGTGTTCATACCTTAGCCGGTCCCCTCCTCTGCTGCCAGCAAGCAGTCCCTGCTACTGCCACCCCTGGATACCTGCGCACCAAGAGCAGCCCCCTGGCTGGCTTCCTTGGCCTACTCTGCCCAGTGCCTCGTCTGCTCTTCACACTTCAGTTCATGACATCCCTTAAAAGCAGAGGTTGATCATGTGAACCTCTTCCCCAAGGCTCCCAGAGTGCAAGCTAGGATCCTTCAAGTAGCTGCCTGTCCAGCCTTATCTTGTCTTGCTTTTTCCTTCTTTCTTGCTCCAGCCATAGAAGCTTAATTCCTTTCTTCCATAGCTCCATTCTTCTACTCATCTTGGGGCCTCTGTGCATGTTGGAGCCCTGGTCCCCTCTTTCCCTGTGCTCAGTCTGCTCTCTGTTCAAAATCACTCCTCAGGAAACTTCTCCTGGGGGCAGGTCTCCTTGTCACAGACCCACAAGCATCCTGAACACCATTCCTTCAGTGTCTGTCTCTCCACAAACATGTAAGCTGCCTGAAGACAGGCTCTGCCCCTTCTATTACTGTTGTGTCTCCAGCTTGGAGGACATTTTCTGCTCTGCAGTAGGCACTGAATAAATGCTTATACAGATGATAAATTACACACATGGTTATATCCTTCCTCTTCCTAGTAAGGTCAAGGCTTGCCATAACCTCCCCATCCTGCCTTGTCTCCTCTTGCTACTCACTTTCCTGTCTCCCAGAAGCTGTATTCTGTATCCCTCTGCCTTTACATTGACAGGTTTCTCCTTTGTCTGGAAAGCCTAACTTTTAAGACCCAACTTGAATATTACTAC